TTCCGATTAAAAAATTATATTCTGGGTTCTCAATATAGCATATCAAAGAGCACGCCCCGCCGAGTCCTCCATCTCTCGGGAGGGTGACAGAAAGAAAAGCGCGCCGGCCCACCCCCGCAGGCTGGGGCGCCGGTGGGCGGCCAGGTGGGCGGCCAGGTGCGGCCCGGGCAGCCGGGGAGGGGCGGCAGGTGCGCGCTGGGAGACCCGTGCCCGCCCCCTGCCCACCTGCTGGCTTTGGGAGGGTGGGGGCGGGGGACAGGAAACCTACAGACCTTAGGCGGCAGTTTTGACAACTGTCTCTCTCGCCTGGTAATTGAATGCCAACCGTCTCACCCCTGATACCTGACTCTTATTTTTCGGGTGAATTTTTCTATTGCCGTGGTGTGGAAAAGGACGCGCTAGCACTGGCTTGGGATGTATCAAAATAGACTTCCCAAGACAATATAGAGTGTTGGGGTTTGGTTTGCATAAACTTTTCTAGCCAGAGAAAGTATTAAAGCATCTCCAAAAATGTACTTAAACTGCTGCTAAAAATCTAAGATAGTATTTTAAAATCTATTTTTCATTACTTTAGAAAGAAATGGAAAAATGAAAGACTGCAAGATCTAATACTGTGCTCTTGAAGGATAGAGAGCGTTAGTTAATCCAAAACTACAGTACAGGTAGACTCGTACTTTCGCATACATATAAAATGCAGTTTTATATAGGAGGCCATTCCCACATCCTGGCTGGCCTCCCAGCCCATGCCTACTTTGCTGGTGGGGATACAAGGCCTTCTTTGAGATGGGAAATTCTTTGGGCCACATCTTTATGTTGCAGCAATGGATGGGATGATGATAATATCGAAAGAAAAAAATTTATTAAAGCACTCTGATCTTTTTTTCTTCCTTTTGCAAAAAAAAAAGTTATTCGAATGAAGAATGTCAGGATGGAATGTATGTCACTAAAGTTAGATCTCTTCAGTCTTAGTGACAGGGTCTGCCTGGAATAGCTGAGTTGATATTTCAAATGAATAAGTATGCTTATTTCCTCAGATTCTTCAACTGAAGAAATCAGTGCTGGAAGTTTCTCTCAGCCTCCCTAATCACCAGGGGTTCTGATGCTACAGATCCTGTTCCGCTAAAGAGTGAATTTAGGATTCTTACAATACAGTAAAGATTAGGCAGTTTCCTGGCTGATTGCAGAAGGTGGAGGCTAATGAATGTTCAGACAATGAGATCTGCAAAATTCTTCGACTTCCTCTCGGGAGTCTTGATGGTTTGCAAGACATTGTTGGTTCTGAACAGCTAGAGAAAAAAGAACTTTCTTCCACAAGATGTTCTGCGGTTCGTGAGTCACAAAATGAGTGGTCTTACCTGCACTGTTGGGATTGCTTCCAGAGTTGGGAGAAAAGACAGTAAATCCTCTCCCCAAGCTGGTGGATGTCTGACTGCATGTGACTCTGGAAGGAAATGTGTCAGAGCAGAATGTCTTCTGACTTGTAACTGATTGTTTCTTTCTGCAGTTATACGCTGAAATCTCTCCTTGTTTGTTTTCTGGGCACATTTAGATAGTGTGTTCTTCCCACATTAAGAATGGCATTTTTGGCCCACTTTGCTTAAATGCCCTATGGTACTGGGGGAGGTGGTGGGAGGGAAGAAAATGAATTCTCTGTGTCTCTCTGTGACTACCCTGTATTTTACAGGAGTGCTCCAAAAGACTGGAGGTATTCACCTGTACAGGGGTCAACTCTTGATAGAGAAGCACCAGTTCTTATGTGGCACCTTGCTGCTTTTCCTAAACCCAGCCATCCCTAAATACTACCCACCCCCACCACTTGCAGTATCTTGTGCCACTCCCAGGCCCTAGTGATTTGTTAAGGGAAAAAGAAGAGGTGTATAATCCATTCTTTTAAGGTAACAATTACGGGTGTCCGACTAGTCTCCGAAGACTCTCTGTTAGAGATCAGTGTCAGAGGTTTACAGTTTTTTCTTGGAGGCCACCCAAGGCAGGTATGTATGAGAACATGGTAACAAAAATAATAATTATTCTGATCATTTGGATATCTATTATTAAACATCCATGCATGCAGATATGGCAGTACATGCCTGTAATCTCAGCTATTCCGGAGGCTGAGGCAGGAGGATTACAGCTTCTAGGGTAGCCTAGGCAATTTAGTGAGACCCTGTCTCAAAATAAGCAGGCACTAAGGATGTAGCTCAGTAACAGAGTGCTTGTTCAGCACGTACAAGGCCCTGAGTTCAATCTCCAGTACCGCCTCCCCCCCAAAATCACTAGTTTTGTGTTTCCTGGTTTCATTTTACTGTGAGTACCTATGTATTTAAGTTATTCACTTATTCAGCACAGCTTGTTGAGTGCCGGTTCCAGGTTTGAGGCTGGGTCCTTGGGACATCAAGACCCATTAAGCCGTGGTTCCCTGTTTTGGGGGCTTTTCTCTGAAACAGTGAAAACAAAAGAACAAAAGGAAGTCTACAAGGCTAAAGAAAATGCTGTTTCTTTTTACTGTTTTTTTTCCCCATACACGCTCAAGGATAAATATCCAAACAGAATAACTAAAGAATAAGGTAAAGGATGTTCTCATAATGTTCTTTTAAATTCAAATCAAATAATAAAATAGAAATAATTTTCTTAAAAATGGAAACACACTGTTTCATGCTGTAATTCAATATGAGCCCAAAAGACATGGATTGTAATTTCTAAAAGGGTAGATTTTTTAAATCTGTTGTGGTCAGCCACGCTGCTATCAAACTTTGTACTTAGAACAGTGGCAGACACTAGTCACTAAAATACTTGTTGACTAAATGAAATGGAAAATATAAACTGATTAGTGGAGTTTTTTTATTTTATAGATGTTTTTAGCGTGAATTACATTTCCTAATGGACATCTCTGAAATGTATAATGTCTTCTTCTGATTAAGCATGTAACATTTCCAGCAAAGTATTGAGAGTGAGAATATGTTTAAAAGTAGTAGGTAAATTGCAAAGTAGTTTTAGAATATTACTAGAGCAATTTGTATTATGTTTATAGGCATGAATTTCTTTTTTTTTTTTTCCTAACAAATTACATAGTGCAAGTTTTGAGTTTTAAACCATTTGGAAAGTGCCCTAGGGGATACACCAAACTGTTCTTCATGTGTTTATTAATTTGTATTCGTTCTTAGGTAAATCACCTTTAGGTACTGCACCAAGTTTAATTCTTTACCCACAAAAATCAGGGTAATACAGAGCAATTTCTGTTGGTTTACACACAAGTCATACCGTTTTAAATTTTGAAAAGACTTCTTAAAATGTTACAAGTCTTTTTAGATGGTTGTCTTCATTTTTGTTTTTACCTGATACAGGTAGATTTGGGAAAAGCTTCTTTCACAGTTCTGTTGCTAATTTTAGCGGTTCTGTTGCTAATTTGTGCTGTGGAGGATGTCATACTATGCAGCTAAATCTGATATTATTTCTCCTCTCTGAAAACCAAATTTAGACATAAAGGCTAAAATGTTTCCAGAGCTTCTGAGCGGGAGCTGACAGTGATAAGAGCAGAATATTGTACGCCGTTGAAAATATGCGTGTGATGCACCTTTGAAAACAAGACTGGTCGTCAGTAAGTGAACAGCTCTCCTTTTCTTTATCTTCTCGTGGCCCTCTCAAGGCATGGGAGGCATGCTGAGCTGATTCAAGATAGAAATAGTGGCATTAAATAGCAAAATAGCAGCAACGCACAAAGTACACAAGTTACTCCTTTTCAGTCCTTCCGATGGTGGAAATCTAAATTGGTACCAATGTGCTTCTAATCCCTGTAACATTTGGTGAATTCTGTTTTTTTATGTTTGTTTTTACAAAGAGAGACCAGGCTTCAGCTCGGAGCTTTTAATTTGCCTCAGAATATAGCTGGAATTTAATAACATTGTTTTATTTTTGTTTATGGTTACCTTCTACAGAGGCAAGTGAAATTCATTGTCTTTTTAGAATAATGAGAGAAAAATATCTTTTAAATAGCCTTGAGTGAAAGAAACCTGAATGTTTAAAATAAAACTACTGAGATGAGGATGTGAATTAGTGTAGTTATGATGAAAAACAGTATAATCTTCAAAAAATAAAAACCTGGAACTACCATAGGATCCAGCAATCCCACTGCTGAGTATATATCTAAAGGAAATGAAATCCATGGCTTAAACAGATATCTGCACTCTTATGTTTGTTGCAGCAGTATTTTCAGCAGTCAAGGTACCAAATCACTTTAAGTATCCATCAGTGGATGAGCAGATAAAGAAAATGCGAAATGTGTACAAAGTAATACTATTTAGCCATTAAAAAGCATGAAATCCTGTCCCTTGCAAAAATATGGATGACCTTGGAGGACACTGTGTTAAACGAAATAAGCCAGAGAGACACACATGATCTCACGAAGGATCTAAAACACTAGATCTCGTGGAAGTGGAGATGGGGGAGGGGTCTGGGATGGCTGGGGACAGGATTTGCTGGGTGCATGTTGGTCAAAGGATAGAACATTTCAAGTAGGAGGAATGTGTTTGGTAGATCTGTTGTATAACTTCGGGACTATAGTCAACGATATAATGTATTCTTGAAAAATGGTAAGAATGTAGATTGTGTTCTCACCGCAAAAATGATAACTGCGAGGTAATATATATATCAATTGACTATTTTTGGTCATTCCACAGTGTATGTATATACCATACTTCAAAACATGATGTTGTACACAATAGGTGCATACAACATTATCTGTCAATTTTAAAATAAAAAGCAAACTTAATTGCTGTTTTGATAGTACAAGTAAGCAACATTTATTAAGGACTCATTGTGTACTCTAGCACTTTGTACGTATGAATTCATTTCATCTTTACTACAGCACTATGAAGCGTATATCACTGCCCGCATCATCAGCTGTTGTAGACGTCAGGAAACTGAAATGTGCAGTACTGAAATACTGTGGAGGTCTCACAGGAGAGCTAGGGTTCAAGGCCAAGAAATAGTTTAGAGCTCATGTCCCTCTGTTATGCAGTAGGCTCCAAGATGTCAAGTCACTGCTGGAGGTTTCGTAAACACTGATCACCACGTCTCTCATCTTTGAACATCCACGTGCACCTGTCTATCATGTCCCTCCATAGTCCCTGCGTCCCTCACTGCTACCGCACTTACCTTTTGTGTCAGGAGGAAGACTCATAGATATTCACATCTGTAGTTGCTTGACTGAGCTCAGCATCCTAACTATACTGTCAGCCTCTTGGAAGAGGAGCTATGTTATATCTTATACTCTTGAATTCAGTGAATACATGGTTAATAAGAGTTTTAGAAAATGATTAAGAATAATAATTAGTGCATTTGCAAAACTAAGGAATTCTTTGGACTAAAAACCTGTTTCTACATTTTCAAACTAAAAAAGTCTTTAATAAAAAAGAAAAATGTAAAAAGTAGTGGTTCTGACATTTGAGTGAAATTTTTACTGAAAATGCATTAATTTATTACTTTAGAAAGATTTCTTTAAAATGCTTCAGTGATTCCAAACAAAAGGAAGCATAATAGATTTCAGATGTTCTTAGAGGAAAGAAAGAATAACATTAGGGTTTATGACCTACAAGATCTAAGATACAATATAATTCTATCAACCTATTCTATTATTGCCTCAGAACAATTCTATACTTAACCAATTTTCCACTCGGTGTGGTGATGTCCCTACAATTAACTGAGTCATGTACAATATTCATATTACCAGAAATGTAATTAAAATTTCCCTTATTTTGCAATATGAAATTTAAAACTTTGTATGTTGTAGATGAACTATATGAAAATTTGAATATCTTAAATTTATAGTTTATAAGCAAGTTTTTAAAAGGTAAATTAATAAGAATATACAATAACTGATGATTTCAAGAGCCATGACTTAAAAAATAGCTACTCTTCTAAACACAAAAGAAAATTTTTATGAACTGTTATGCACTGCATTTTATTACATGATGCTATAGAGTCTTAGGTGTAAGGGATTGTGAAATCCATCTAGTTCAACTTGTTTTGTATATTCAACATATATTAGAGTACTTTGCAGAAAGTCAGCACACTTGTTTAGTTTCCACTAATCTGTTTATAAATTGATAATTTTGAACTAACAGTGCAATTGCTGTTGGGACAAAAAAAATGCAAGGGGTGAAATGATTAGATTCTTTGTACAGACTACAAATGCTTACACAATGCAAGGGAGAATATCTTAATATGGACTTCGGGGGACCTAGATAGGGACTTAGAAGTCATCTGAGCCAATGGACTCCTACAGCTAGGGATATTTATACCATACACTGCTAATGCAAAGAGCATAATATACAACATTAGGCAGTAAGTACAACCAAATATTTAATTGAATGAAGAGTGCTTAGGGTTTTAGTTTTAAAGTTTAAGATAGAAGGCAATATAAATGGAAACTTTGGAAGAGACTTTCTAAAGAGAATTTCTGGACATGTTAAAAGGATTAGAGCTTTGTTTTTCTTTCTTCTCTCCTCTCTCCTAGGCAACAGTGATTACAGCTCAGCTACTCTGTTCTTCTCCTCCCATTCCTTCCCTTTTTTCCCAGCGTCCCCTGTACAGGACTTATATTGTCAACATTCTGCAATGTTATCTTAGGTGTCAGTGACATTGCTGTTACCTTGTCCCTGTCCATACTAATTCTTGGTGAAAGCACTCTGCTCACCATCTCTGGAATTTATTCAAGCATCTTCCATTTGCACACATTTGATGCTTTGCCTTCTCGTTCCCTGCAGATCTATGTTTGGTGTTAACTTCTCCACCCAGTTTGCTGAGATGACATCAGGCCTGTCTTGCCCCCTCTTCCTGTCCAGTCTCTGAGCTTCTTTCTTTCTCTAGGTGTCCTCTCTGCAGACTGGTTAAGCACTTCATGTAAGGGTGGGTGGAGGGCTTTGTTTTCATGACAAAAGCTCCTGACTTGGCCAAGATGTGAGGCTTTTCCTGCTCACAAAAAAAGCAAAGGAATTGGAAGAGAGCATAAAAGGAAGAGAGAGCTTTTCGTGAAGCTAGTGGGCAAGAGTTGGGAAAAGTGGAGAGAGGAAGAGAATTGAAGATGTCTGCGTATTCTTGAGAAGCTGACTAAAGGGATCATAACTATTGTGGGAGAAGTGAAAAACCAAAGAAAAAGTACCAGGTTCATGACACATGCTTGGTGAAGACCAAAGAAGAGGCAGGGAAGAGATTGTCCCCACATCCGTGCCTCTAAATGAGCCATGAAATCATGCTGTTGGTCCAGGACAGATGGGAGTGAAGGGATGGAGCAGTTGGGTCAGATCAACAGAGAAAGGAACAGAGAAACAGCGTTCACTGAGACCTCCTCCCTTGCTTCTCTTGTCTTTCTTCTGGACCGTGTGAGCTGGTGTATATGTTAGACGTACCTCCATCAGAACAGGTTGAGAACAGCCACACTGCCCCAAACGCCCTCATTGTGCTAGCTGACATGGCATCCTGAGCTGTCTCCTTCCCTCAACAGCCACCGAGAGAGAAGTAGAGATTCACACTGGTGACCTGGGCTCCCTGTCACAAGAGATCACTCAATACTGACCTGCGGCAGACCCTTTGAAAGGACAGTGAAAGGACAGTAGGTGTTCTACCGTAAGTCCTGGCATAAAGGAATATCAAACATGGTTGTGTCGCAGTGCTGCAAAGTTACATTTGTACAGTTTGAATTCCACTTACCCAGACTTAGACACAGTGACTCAGCGCTTGCCCAGAAGCACTGGCAATCATGTGTGGTAGCTGAAATAAGGACTTTGATTTCTTCATTTTCTGTCTCTTACTATGTTTTATTCCATTTCCTGCTCTAATAACAATACCTAATACTGCAAAGAGAGGGTTTTTTCCAGCTATGGAATATGTTCCTTAAGTAAAATGTTACATATCACCCTGCTGCCAGTGAGATTAAGGGTTCCTAATTGCAGATGAAAAGCAAACAACCTTTAGAAAGACAGTTGGACAAACTGGACCTACTATTTCAGAGTGTTCACAGGGTTTGATCCAACAAATTCATGTCCAGAATATGATACTAATTTTACAGACACTTGAGTATATTTATCATAATGTTATTCATAAAATTGAAAACCAAAAACTGCTAAAACAATGAATTGGTTAAATCAGTTCTATCACATCTGATACAAAATATTGTATTAATATATAGCAAAATTATATTGACTGCTAGTAATGCAACATTATAAGTAGAAATAGAACAGAGCAAAACAATCTGTAATCTCTCTACCTAAATAAATATGGAAGGAAACTTATAAAACATGAGCAAAAGTTATGTCTAGTAGATGGTACTATCCTATCTGGTAGATGATTTTTATTTTCTTTCTTATATTTTAAAAATTTTTTCAAAATTCCAACAAAAAGCATGCATTACTTTGAAAAATGGGGGAAATTTACGTTATTTTAAACAAAGATCCTGCTTCACAGGCAGTTTATAATAACATAAAGGTGAGAATACCCAAGGGCAGCACATCTGTAATCCCAGCCACTCAGGAGGCTGAGGCAGAAGGATTGCAAGTTCAAGGCCAGCCTAAGCAGTTTAGCAAGACCTTTTTCAAATTAAATAAAAAATAAATAGTAAAAAGAGCTGGTGATGGTCACTCAGTGGTGGAGCATTTGCCTCCCAAGTACAAAGCCCTGGATTCAATTCCCAACACCACACACACACACACACACAGTATGTGTACTGTATTCATCTGCTTGTTTGAAAAGGGCAACAAGTATCAAGAGCTTATCCAAAAAATATGTATTGATCTTGATATATGTGTGGGTATAAAATCAGTCCTACATAAACACAAGATTTTTGAGTCTGCCATGTTTCAGGTATGTGTGTATGTGGGTATTCTTGGTTGAATTGCCTCAATCTACTATACATATTTACTAAATATAGTCATTCTCTTCCTTTTCTGATTAATCATTAAAACATGTAACTGCTTGTTTCTCCTTCTTGAAGAGTCTCCTATTTCAGGGAAATATGTAGTCCCAGGACTTTTGTAGCTCATGAAGTGATGCTGGCTGGGCATCCTACTGAAACAGTGATTGAGCTGACCTCTGGGCAGGCCGTGGTCCCCTGGTTTCCTGCCCCATTGCGCTGCCAAAGGCGCGACCCACAGTGCTGCTCCTGCTGCTGTAGGGCACCCTGGCTCCTTAGGGAGGCACCAGGAGCCTCCTCCCTCCAAGACTGCAGCTTGCAGGCCCTGCTTGGTTCCTTTGTTGCACAAACGCAGCTGTCTCCCAGGAGCGCCTGCCCTAGACCAAACTTGACGGCTCCCAGCCCTGACACTGCCCCCATCCGCGTCCCGGGAATCAAACTCCCGGCCATGGCTCTCTTTTGGACTTGTGCAACAGGAAGTGTCTGGATTCATCGACTAGTCATGAGAACATCTTAGGTTTTACAGCTTTCTTTCTGGCTTCAGTGGGTTCCCAGCCTTTCTCCTCCTTTCTGTCCTTCCAACCTCGTTTGCCCGACCGTAGAGGTTCCCTTGCCTCAGGACTGTCACACTGCTGCAGTTTCTCGCGGCAGGCTGCCCAGATGCTTCTGCTCCAGATCCTACGCACAGGCCCCTCTGTGTGGCCCATTGTCGCCCTCCACGCCCACACGCACATACTATGGATGGGTAGGAGTTTTGATGCTAGGGTCAAGTAATAGGCAGGTTTCACCGACTTACAAGGTGGCATTTCTCAGACAAGGAGGACTCTCAGACAAGCAGATGCAGTGTGAGGGCAATTAGAGGCAGAAAAAGATGCAAGCAACCAGACTAGCCCAGGCTTTGCACACAGCGCGGGGAGAGTTCTGTCTGGGCAAGGAAGAGGGCTTGGCTCGGTGCTGCCTGGGGCACTCTGGTGGCCTCTGCCTCCGCAGGGCTCAGACACAGCTCCAGGCAACACCACGAGCTCCTTTCACCTCCTTCCTTCCTGGTGTCTCATCCCTCTTCCTTCTCCTGCCTTCACTCCCACCCTCCTAGGCACCCAGTGTGCTTCTGATGTCTGAGTCTGTTTCCTGACAAGGAAGACGTGAGCGGAACGAAATACACGCGGAGATGTTAGCGTTGCAGTATGCTGCTTTTCCAAAGATGTTTCCACCTGGAGATTATTTGCGTGTTCAACAATTAAGTACCGACTCAGGGAGACACGTTCAGCGCAAGAGAAAAAGAATATTCTGTGCCCCAATTCCTAGTCCAGAAAGGGGAAGAGACACGAAAGCAGCAGCTGCACTCAGTGTAAGACGCTCTTTGCCACACAGAGAAAGAGTGACAGTTCTGTCAGGGTAGAGCAGAAGGGCGAAAGTCCTAAGGTCTTACCAGAAAGCCACCACTGGACAAGACTTGGAAGGTGGACTGAATGGAAAGACTCAGGAAGTGCAGGCCCCTCAGCAAGACACCAGCACAGAGGCAGGGAAACAGCACGAGCAGGGAACAAGAAGGAAAATTGCAAAATGAAAGTGGATTGGTTCTAACTGACTTTAGAATGAGATGTGAAAGGGGCAGAAAAGGAGGTTGCTGAGATCAAATGGTGCGGGGGCCTCAGCTAATATGCTAAGGAGCGTGGATTCTGCTGACCAGGTGGTTCTGCCCCTAGTGAGCTCTACAACACTGGGGGTGGGGATGAGAGTGTGGGTGCAGTTAGGGAAGCAGGTGATGGGGAAGGAAGCACCGGGCTGCTGGCGAGGTTTCCTTCTGGGGACAGGATGTGCACTTGGTAATAATGCAGGGAACCGCACATTTATGTTTTCTGTACTTACTGTGTGTTCCACTTTGCGGTCATTTAAAACATCAAACTGGGTTATTATATATTGCACAGAATCTAGGGCCTCACTCCCGGATATAATGATTGAATAGGTTGAGGTGGGAACTTGGCGATCTGCACTGTTTTAAGTAATTACTTTCTGGCATCTAAAGCCAGAGGAACGCCCTGGACCACACCCTGAGAACACTTTCAGGGCCTTTGGGAACCACCCAAAAGATGGAAAAAAGATGCTAAAGACAAGGATTTGTCCATCTCATTGTGTGGAGGAGAAGGAAAGGCCTTCCTCTTGTGCCTTATTAGCACCGGCAGGTCTGGTGTCCCATTGCTTTTGTGCTTCTGAAAGAAAGAGATAAGACAAAATAAAGTGCTAATGATTTATTAGTACGAAATGTGTTTTTTGAGATGTGTTTTCTTTTGGAGTTTTCTTAAATGTGAAAACATTGTACCCCAGCACATTCATTTCTACTGGTTGAGTTGAAGGCATAGAAGAAGCGCCTAGGAGCAACTTTCTAGCGTTATTTAAATGAGTGCATTTTCAGCTGTGAATAAGTCATTCTGCTGCTGGCCCGCCATCGTTAGGACATGTGCTTAGGGATAATTAATTTGCATGGATGAAGCAAAATTCTTTTCCGTGTGCTTCTTCATGATCCAAGGGATATTTCTGTGACACAAAGCATCCAACATGGTATTCTTCCAAACTCTAATCCCTATGGGAAAATATGTCAAATTGCGTTGCAAAGTTGTTTTTCCCCTAGTGATGACAGTTTTGGAAATAGAAAGGGGGAAACCTTATTGGCCTTGAATAGAGAATGAGAAAGTACAAAAATCTGACATAAAATTTGCACAAATTTTTTTCCCCTTATAATCGAAGTACTAAAGAAATGCCAAAAGATTTCTCAGTTGCCACAGTTATGACTTCTTTGTGAGCAACGTGCCTCCATTCATATCAGCAGAAATTTTAAAACCTAACAACAAAGCACTAGCTAGGAGTAAGAACATAGGGACTTAAATACTCCTGGCAAGACTATGAATTGATACAGCCACTTTGAAGTGCAATTTGGCAATATGTCATTAAGTTAAAGGTGTGCATATTCTTTGACCCAGAAATTGCAATCCAAGATATGTTCTCTGAGATCTCTTACTTCCACCCAAGGACATATGTATAAGAATATCCAGAACAGCACTGATTCAATAGTACAGAATTTATATTAGATAAACAGAAGAATTCACGAATAAATTGTGAAATGTACAATAGATGTAGCTGTGAAAATGAATGGAATAGATCTACGTATCTCCCATGGAAAAATGGCAAATATGATGTTGAATAAACGATCAAGCTGCAGATGAATGTGTAGCATATATTGTTATCCAGGTTAAAAACTTGTAAATACCATTCTTGTGTGGGAAACTATCTTGCTACCACGGTAGCCTGTAGATACAGTAACAAGCCAACTAGCTCACAGAACAGAAAGTCCTTGGCCACAACAAGATTCTCAAATCACAAGACTTATTAAATCAATTGAAGCACTTCACAGGAAGCAAGGCGAAAGAATTGGAGTAGGTTAACTCATTTAAGATCTGGTGTTGGCAGAGTGGAAAAATGAGAGTACTTAAATTCTCCATCTTCTCTCTCTCACTCTTTTTTTTTGTCACACACATACACGAGCACATGCACACACACGTGAGCACTCCTCACAGAAGGGTATGCTCACAGATTTACACAAATGAGCCTCCAGGCAGCAGGCGCCCAGCCTCGGGAGCCAGCATGCCTGCCTGGTAGCTTGAGCTTGCCAGGTAGCCCCATGAGCACCAGAGA